TGCGGACCAGCCAAATGGGCTGGTTGCCCACCCCCTTCCTCAGTGAGTTTTATCAAAGCCTCTACAGACTAAAACAACTCCCTCTCCATTCCCACTCCAAGCCCATCCTTCTTCCTGGGGATCCCTGGATTATTCTGGGGTTTTGAAAAACTCCTTACCACCCATCATACACCTCATTTGATTCTCACGACTGCACTGCCTGTGAAGGCAGCAATGGGCAGAGATTGTGATCTCCTTGGCAGAAGAGGAAACCGAGGCACAGACAGGCAAGGACTGACATGCAGCAAGTCAGTGGCAGCACTGGGGAGAGAACCAGGACACCGGATCACCATATCACCCCGGACCTGCCTGAACCCGAGCCTACAGATGGGCGAGAAACCCTCCCCTCCAGCCATCTCGCCAGGGCTGCACCTTTGGGAGAAACTTAATGGAAAGCATTTATTCACGAGTCAAGACAACTGCTTTCCTGCTACTGACTCGTGCGACCTTGGGCAAGTCTCTGCTCCTCTCTGAGCCTCTGTAGAGTATGAAGACAGGCTCTGGGTCCTCCGCTGACTGGGAGATTCTGTGACTATTTGCATGGGGCCTGAATCATTTCCACCCCCTTGGGGCTTCCAGGGTCTTCAATCAAAATGCAAGAAGATTACTCACAGTACTGCAGTGTAAGGGCAATAATGACACAGGGCTCCATTTCTCAAGTGCTTTCCACAGCTGGGCTTTACATAAGCTTCAGCGTTTAATGTAATCCTCACTACAAACCCAGGAGGCATTACTACCGTCCCCATTTTGTAGGTGAAGAAACTGAGGCTCAGAGAAGTGAAGTAGATAAGCAGGATTGGAGCCAGGAAGACCTGACCTCAAAGGGCAGGCTGTTTCTTCTACCATATGCTGCTCAAGGAAGCTTCTGAAAGTCGGCTTTAGAGATGCAAGGTCTGCCCTAGAAAGTCTGTGGTCTTAGAGCTGCCCCTCACAAGGCATTATGGGAACTACGAGAGACATGGGGCCTAGACCGGCATGACCCCGAGGCCCCCAGCCGCTCTCACCCTCCCTCAGCCAGTCCCTTATCCTGGGCCCACAAGCAGACACTGCAGCCCCACCAGAGCCTGTGAGCAGATGCAGATTTATTATTGCACAGACTGCAGCATCCTGAACCCTCGCCCCAAACACCAGCCCCAAACCAGACCTGGGAGCTCTACCCTGGGCCAGACCAAGAAACCTGGAACCCATCAGGCCTGAGCAGCACCCCAACCACCCTCCAAATCCCCTAGGAGTCCAGAAAAGCCCAAACAGATGCAGAGCCATGGGCCCTGGCCAGTGGAGGATGCGAGAGTCCACAGGCTTCTCTCTGCAGAAATGTAGTCCAAGATTCCAGCCAAGCCACGAGGCCCTAGCAGGGCTTGAAACAGCAAGTGTGAAGCTGGACGGAAGGTCCCAAGTATTGAGGGGGAAGGGAAAGCTGACTCCATCAGAAGCAAACTTCAGGTCACAGAGCTGCCCAGGCAAGGCCACGCCGCAATGTCAAAGCCCCCAGGTCCACAGAAAGAAGGCCAGAAAGTAGCCGCCCCTCCAGCTCTGCCTGGACGCCATCGCCACATCCTCCCCCAGGCTTGGAGGGGCCTGAAAACCCATCCCCTCCATCCTCCCAGGGGCAAGGGGCCACCAGCCCTCAGTCTCTACCCACCCCCAGTGGAGACAAGGGCCCAGAGACCCAGTGTGGTACTGAGCTTCTGTAATGAGCTACATGCAAACACCCTCGTCTACCACACAAGCCAAGGGGCTCATTATTACACAGACTGTGCCGGTGGGAGCCCTCAACTTGCTCCTCTCTCCCTGGGAAATGCTTGGTAACAAGCAGCCTGTCCTTAGCACCAGCCTGAACATCTATCTAGCCCAGGGAAATCTGCCTGGTCTTGCAAGTGCTCCCATGCTCATGCTTCCCTGAGCCTGTGGTGCGCCCTGGTCGGGGAGGTGGACAAACCAATTCATGGGGCATCACAGGAGCTTTATCTTACCAGTCCTGGGACTCCTGCAGGGTGACCCCTCAGCATGCTGAGAACGCCAGAGGCCCTAAATGCAATGCCAGCCTCAGGTTCAGGAACACACAATAAACAGGGGGCCAATCCTATCTGCCCGTAAGCCTTTCTTCCCACCCTACCCCCTGGCCACCTAGTCAGTGGCTTCCCAGCCAAAGACCGCAATCCCTAGCATCTCCCTCTCTTCTATTGGTCCAGAAGGGAAGCTGACTGGACCAGTGGGAGCATACCCAAACCGAGCCTGTCCATTTCCTCTACTGTCATTCAGAACATCTGTAAGCAGGGGACAGAGTGTGTGCTGGGTCAAGACCGGGAAAGGAAGAGCCTCGGCTCTGTCTGAGAGTGTCTCCCTCACTGCTCAGCACAGGGATGGGTCACTCCCTTTGCTCGCTTGGGAGGCCTCAGCCCAGCAGCCAGAGGTTAGAATAAAGCAGGGGAGGGGTAGCAGGAAGGGGGCTGGGATTTAATATTAATATTCTGGTTTGGTGACTTCTCCCAAAACACACACAAGCCCAGGGAGGGGGTGACCTAGAGGCAGGAGAGGGAGTGGGTAAGGATGGGGACAGGAGCAGATCGGGGCTTTCCCTGCCCCAGATGGAGAGCTCTAGGAGGGTTTCCAGCACATTCTATTCCTCTGGGAACCTCCACCGCTCAGCATGGCACCGCCGGAGGCCTTAAAAGTTTGCAGTGTGTACGTGAGCTGGAATCCGGGCTCCAGGTCCAGAGGCCAGTGCTCCATGGCCACCCTGCCTGGCACTGTAGAGAGATGGTTCTTCTCCTCCTCAGCAGGACCTCCTGGCTCTGCGAGAGACAGCAAGAGGGTCAAGGTCAAGAGAGACAGAGGGCTCACAGAGGCTGGGCCGGGTTCAAACCTCAGACCTGATCTTCTCTGAGGCAGGTTCCCCCCACAAGTCCCAGGGTAGCTTTGCTCCACAGCTCTGACTCGGCGGGATCAAACACGAGCCCTCACAAGGTACCCACTTTATTTGACCTCTGGATGTTGCCTCTGCTTATTTGCAAGTGCCGTTCCCTTTGCCTGGCTCTCTGTTCCCTGCCTTCCTCCCCTCCCACTGTCAGCTGGCTCACCTCCTTCCCTCTTCAGGTCACTGTCTTCAGTCCCTGCAGCGATCATTCCCAGATCCCCTATGAAACGGACCTGGCAGAGCACACCACTCACCCCCAGGGCATCGCCTACCAGACTAATACTGTCATTGGCTATTTATACGGTGACATCACAGGCGTCTCTTCTGGGACTGAGTTAGATCCTCCAGCCCACATTAAACTAGGATCAAGAGATGGAGGCTTTAGTGGGGGGAAGGGCAAGAGGCAGAAACTGTTAGCATCCCCAAGCCCAGGATCTACTGTGTAAAGGCTGGTCCTAGCAGGAGAAAGATTTTGTGTGTCTTGTAGATACTTCACTCTGAGACCAGTGAGGGCCACTTTCCTTTAACCCAACCCACTTCGCCTCTTTCACGGGACCTTAACCAGAATCCCCACCCAGCTCCACTGTAGAGAGAAAACCAGTTGATGGAACTAATTCAGAGACAGCAAGGTTTCAGGAAGAGAGGACTGAGGGAGAGGGTAGGGACTGAGGGGCAAGAGAGAAAGGGTGGGCAAAGGGAAGGGGGTCGTCTCAGGTGAACTCGGTTTGGAGGCCCTGGGGGGAGGGAGGCAAGCATTGTTTTGCCTGACGTTTGAGCTGCAAGACTTTTACATAATGAGCGGTAAGTTGAGGGTTTACTCCCGTTGTGCTCACCCATTTTTAATGGCAGGGGTGAGTCCCTGCTTTATCCCAGCAGAGCAGCTGTCCAGTAACTGTTGGTCAAATGAATGAATGAGTGAATGAATGAGTGAGCAAAGCCCCCAGGGCTTACCTGAAAGAGCAGGTGCTCTGCAAGTGTTGATCTAATAGGAGGGGTGGGGGGGGGAAGGGCATGACCCATCAAATCCACACTCTAGGTCCCTCCCTCTGCTGGGGATGGGCCTCAATTAACCACAGGACCAGGGGCCAAGAGGCAGCGGGCCCTTCCTCCCATCATCCAGGTGCCCAGACTCTACAGGCTCCCACCCCCACCTCCCAGCCGCACCTGGTAGACGAGGGTCAGGTCAGGAGGTGAACAAAGAGGATGGCCAGGCCAATGTTAAGCAGGATCACCATGCAGATGAGGATGGTGTTGGGAACCTGGAAGCAGTGGAGAGAGGCTGCCTGAATCCCCACAACCTCTGAACCACCCCCAAACTCGCCCAGATCACAAGAGGCTGAACAGAGGAGCAGGAACTTCCAGAAGGACCCTTCTAAGAGAATCCCCTTATTTTGCTCACCACAGTGTCCACCTGCAAGGATTCTTGGAAATAATAAACCAAACAGCTCAGGGTCCAGAGAGGGGCAAGGACATGTCCCAAAGCACATAGTGGGCCGTGTGAGGCCTGGATCCCAGGCACTGGCCTTCCCACTAATTCCTCTGGGGTCCCATTTGTCAGTCCCTCAGAGCCTTGCTTCATGCTTTGTTGCCGCAGTTTCTGGCTCCCAGCCTCCTATGAGGAGCTCAGAGGTCCAGGACCCAAGCCCCGCCGGGCCTTTCCTCCACTCCCAGGAAGCTCCCCCTGAAACATCTTGTAGCAGATGCTACTAGTGCCCAGGCCGAATCCCCTGGACCAGCAGGTGCACCCATCCACCCCGCCCCCGGGTGCTTAGGGCTCCTGGCCACACCCTTCTCCAAATAACTGGCCCCTGCTAACCCGAAAGCAAGCAGGTAGAAAGTCAGGCCTCCTGGGCCACGGTGGAGGACTCTGCGCTGTAATTTATGCTCCCAAATCACCGGGAAATCAGGCTACACTTGACTGAACCTACATCTCTGCTGGGGTTTCCGGAAGTGCCATCACCCTACCCCCAAAATCATGCGCACAGGAATCCCGCCTGGAGCTCAACCACCCATAGGTAACCCGACCTCGGACGCCTCACCTCCTCCACCTCCACCTCCACCTCGGCCTCGGCCACCAGCGCTGCCTCCTTCCGACCCTTCCTCTTGGCCCCGCCCTTGGTCAGCCCCCGGGCCTCAGTCTTGCGGGCCTTGGCCTTGGGCTCGGCTTTGGGGATGATGGGCTTGGGCTCCAGCTTGGCGGGAGTCTCCGGCGCGGGCTCGGGGACCTGTAGCGCGGGGGCCTCCAGTGGGGCGGCGGCCGGAGACGGCGGCGCGGAGTCGGATCCGGAGGCCTCTGGCTCGGGCTCATCCTCGAAGGGCGGCGGCGCGGGCGGCCCGGTGCGCACGGCGTAGCTGTGGTAGCCCCGGTACAGCGCCACCTCCGGCTCCTGCGGCGGCGCGGGCGGCGCCTGCAGCGCCTCGATGGC